AACAATACCCTGTGACTGCAGATCAATTACTCACTACCTACACATTGTTCCATCACGCCGTCACCATCTTATACATACCAGACCACCCCCAATCTAGCAAATGCTAGGGCACTCCCGAAGGAACAGGATATTTCTAGAAAGCGGGTGGCTAGTCACGTGACCTCGCTGACGCAACAATATGAAAGTAGACAAACATATCTAGAATAGCCGAGGTCATCAGTTAATATTCTTTTATGATAATAACTGGTTTCAACTGTTGAGGATGACTTGAAAATCTAAGATACCAATAAACTGGAAGGACTTTTTAAGCACATAAATTAAGTATGTGGAAAACGTAAGTAGACATTTGTCTGTAAAAACTTCAGGAGTAGTCTCACATGACAACTGATGTGGCTCTGTGTTGTTCTGCAATGTGAAATCCCACCTTTGGGTCTGGTAGGTTTATATCAACCTTCAGTAAGGAAGTTATTCTCTAATATGGCATCCAAAATTGACGTGAACTGTATGAATCTTGGCAGAATATACATCTGCTATTTTGCTAGATTTGGTGGAGTTATTCTTTTGTTTTTATCTATATTCTAGGTTTTCTGACTAGTAGATGGCAGTACCAATATAAAAAGCATAATAACTTTGGCTAGTTACAGTGCTTTGATAAAAAATACAATTTTGCTTCTGTATCTAGTGTTTCTGTAGCATTAGACTGTGTATGTGCCGTATACATATATTTTGTTGTTGAAAACAGGATCTATATTGTGAATTATGGCAGGAACAACTATTTCTACTGATTTTTGTTATTACTTATATTTTCATGATAAAAACATTACATTATTAACCAATGCATACTTGCAGTAAATGTCATCATGATTCTGTGGCAACCAATGCAAGTGTTTGTCATTCTTTCCACATACTGGAGCAAGCATACAGCTTTCAGTCAGCACAAATAGATAGGTATATGTGTTACTGTCTACATATCTGATGTTATATGTGGACTAGTTTATGCACACAGATTTAAAACATACAACAATAAAAGTTTTCAGGCAAATAAAAACTTTGGCTTGAACATTGAGACTTGTGTGTATACATAGGGTTAATTAAAATATATTAAAATGTTTTTTAATATAAAATTCAGCAAGTCAGGTGACCACAGTCAATATAAAATTGAAGTGAAACAGAATGTATCAAAACTATATTTTATATTTCGGTATTTTTTGATAGTATAATATCACCTTCAACTGATCATTTTTGAGAAGGGTATGTAACAGCCCTTTCCTACATAGAATATTCATATATTCAGATTATAAAGACATACTTAGATCAGGGATTTATAATTTCCAAGATAAGGATATCCTTTATATTTAATGGCATTGTAAAACAAAAGGATATGGCCAAACTTGGAACATCAGAAGCATCCAGACAGAGATCTAAACAAAATGTACTCCTACCATGGTAAACAAAGTGTGGCATCTTGTAACAGGTGAGAATCCACAAATACAAAGGTCAGGGGCAAAAACTGTTAACATGTTCCAGAAAATATACACAATATAATAAAAAAAGATCTCAGTCTGGAAAAGTAACACAAGTCACATGTACATGAGTTAATTCAATGACATATCAATTCAACTATCACATACTTCAAATGGCCAGAAAATGAAATTAGTCAAGCTATTCTGTACAAAAATATATCAGTCAATTTTTTATGACCTATGGATTTGTATGATTAGACTGTTAAAATAGGCACTGTGAAAACTTAAACTAGATGAATTATGGTAGGTAGGTGTGGTGAGCTTTGGACAAGACAGTCTTCCAACAAAGCTTTTTGTAATGGAAAATATACTGCAGGACTATTGTCAACATAGGCTATAATGATGTGGTAATGTTTCAAAATTGTTCTAACATAACATACTCAAACTTTGTTGTAAAGTTTAAACGATGATTTACAACAGGATTTCTCAAACTTTTTTTGGCCACAGAACACTTTTCAGCTGAAAAAAACTTATGGAACACTAGACACATGAAATATCAGTGTAGAGGGTATG